GGGGCTGGGGTGGCCTGCCTTTCCTCCAGGGTCTTCTCCCCTGCTCCTGTGGGGCGGGGGGCTTGGCTGAGCTGCCTGCAGGCTCCCTCCAGCAGGGTCCATCCCTGCCTAGGACAGGCCCCCAGTGGCTGCCAGGCGCTGTGGGCCACCCGCCACCGCCCCTCGCGCTCTGCCCCCTGACCCACAGCTGCAGAACCCACGTGAATGCTCATCCAGCCTTCTCTGGTCTGACTGCCCTTCACAGCTCTCGTGGGCTGGACACGTCGGGTGCCGTGCCCCTGATGGTTCAGCATCCCGTCCTCTCAGGCTGCGGGGCCTGCCCTGCTGTATGCGGAGCCCACGGGGGCTTTTCCCCGGCCTGCTGTGGGGCATGGCGGGTACGCAGGCAGCCCTATGTGGCGCCCTCACAGCTGGCCGCGCCCAGCCCTTGGGAGGATGTTTCAGGCCAGTGAGGCCTGCGGCCGGTGTGCAGGCCCCGAGGACAAGGCCTGCTCCTGGCCTGCGCCTCTGGGGGAACCCCTTACCTCCACTCCAGAGTCAAGCTGTGAGGCCTCCTGTTGGGGAACACGTCTCACGTTGGGGCATCCCCCACCCACTGCCCGCTTAGGACAGCAGGCTAGCCAGGCACTGACACCCCCAGTCCACACCCCTGGGCTCCCCTTGGAACCCCCCAGTTTCACTACCCCACCGTGACCTCAGAGGTCGGAGGTCCCGCGGGGTTCCCTGGGTCACGGGCGCCTCTGGCTGACCGGCCGCAGGGTTCGCACATCCTACACACCCTGGGGCTGCCGCTACCCGGGGGCAGAGCTGGGCGAGGAGCCCCCCTGCTGCTCCCGGCGCCAGGGGCCCAGCGGGACGGGGATGGCGGCCCCAGGTCGTGCCTGGGGAGGGGTCCCTGGCTCTGCCTCCTCTCGGGAGACCCCGGCCTGTGGCGCCCTGGGGACCCGGGGCTGCGCCCGGGAGGCCGCTCCGGCGAGGCGCTGCCCGGCACTCGGCCGGCGGGGCGGGAGCCCCTCCCCGGACCCGCGCCCGGCGTCCAGGAGGCGGCGGGCCGAGCCGGCCGGCTGGGGGCGCGGCCGAGGCGAGGGGGCTCTGCGGCCGGGTCGCGTCCGCGCGGGACGGGTGGCAGGGCGGCCCCGGGGCGCGGGCGGAGCGCGCAGCTTCCGGAGCGCCCGACGCCGCCGCGACCTGCGGGCGGGGGCGGGGCGGGGCGGGGCGGGGCGGGGCCCACGGGTCGGCGGAGCGGCCGCTTTAAGGCGGGGCCCCGCCCCGGCGCTCGGGGGCGGGGCGCCGCTGGCCCCGCCCCGGCCCGCCGGGCGCGCGGGCGCATTGGCCGCGGGGCCGGGGGCGGGGCGGGGCGGGGCGGGGCGGGGCCGGCCGGGGTTCCCGCCGCGGCCCCGGGCGCTGCAGCGCGGCCGCGGCGGGCCATGGCGGCGGAGGCGCGCGCGTCGCGCTGGTACTTCGGGGGGCTGGCCTCGTGCGGGGCGGCCTGCTGCACCCACCCGCTGGACCTGCTCAAGGTGAGGCGGCGCGGCCCCGGCGGCCCCGGCGGCCCCGGGCCCGGACCCGACCCGCCCCCGACGCCTGCGGGCGCCCGCCGGGGGCCCTGCCCGAGGGGCGCGGCGCGTTCGCGGGCTCCGCCGCCTGGGGACCCGGGCCCTGCGGGGGCGGCTGGGCCCCGCTGCCCGGGGACACCCCCAGCCCGAGCGGGCGGCCCTGGGCTCGGCGCCCCGCGGCCGCCCCGCCCCGCTCTGGCCCCCGCCCGCGGCAGGTGGAGGCCGCCCTGGCCGGCGCCGGCTGCAGCGCCCGCGGGCGGGGGGACGTGCTCCCCCGCGGGGTGCCCGGGATCCCAGGCGCGGCGGGTCTGGGGTGGCGCCCGGGGGCCCGCGCAGGTTGTGCGTTGTTTTCAGACGCCCGCGGACACGAGGCGGCCGCTCCCCGCGCCCCCCGGGCGCCCCGCCGCCCGACCTTTCTCGGGCAGGCAGGAAGGCGCAGAGGGCAGGGCGCCTGCCCAGGAGTCCTCCCGGTGAACCTGGGCGCACCTCCGCACCGCCCAGGCCCGGGAGGGAGTGGCGCCTGGACCTGGGCTGACCGAGCCGGCTGCCCTGGAGCCGGCCCGCCCCCTCCGCCTGCGGGCACCCCGCCCGCTCCGGAGCCAAAACCCCAGCCTCGCGGGCGGGAGTCGGGCTGAAGTTGTGGCCACGGCACCCCGAGACTGGCTTGGCCTGCGGGAGCCCCACGTGGCCGTCCGCGGGAGAGAGGGGTGGCTGTGACACGAGGGGGTACTTTGGGGTGTCAGGAAAGAGCCCCCCCAGCCTGTGTTCTCTCCCGGAGGCCCACGCAGGGCCCAGGGCCCCGCCCCCAGGAGCACTGGCCGCTCTCAGGCTGTCTGGTCCCGGGTGGGCGCAGCCTTGGGGGCCCCGCTCCGCTGGCCTGGGTGTCCACAGAACTGTGACCTGGACGCACTTGTCCATTGTCCAAGGCCCTGCAGGGCGTCACTGCCCCTCGCCCCACCCCCAGGTGCTGTTTGGCTGCCGGGTGCTGCCAGGAGCGAGCGGGGGTGGCGGCCGCCCTCTGGCCCAGGGAGCCGGTGGCTGGGTGCCCGTGGCCCTGGGGGGCCGGTGGCGTGGCCCCATTGGTCCTTCACTGCGTGGGCTTTGGGGTGTGTCGGAGCGCCTCTCCCTTTGCCCCGCAGCCTGGCTTGGTCTGCACACTTGCCCCTCGTCTGGACTGGAGCTGATGCCCACACGGCCACCCTGCCCGCCGGCCCAGTGCCCTGTGCTGCCACCCTACCCGGCTCACGTGACAGAGGCCCGTCCCCACCCCCTGCTGCCTCCCAGCCCTGGGGGCAGGGGTGGGCGAGGCTGGTTGGAGAGCAGTGCCAAGCTGCCCAGGAGGGCCGCCCCTGCCAGCATGTCTCCCCTGACAGTGCAATGTGCGGGGCAGACTCGGAGGCCCCCGGCTCCATCCCTCTTGGGAGCTGGGTGTGGCTGACCAGTGGTGCCTGGTGCCTCCCAGCTGGAGGCCAATTCCTGCCTCAGTTTTCCCACCTGTGCAATGGACCTGACCACCCAGACCGCACAGTAGGCGCCAAGCTCTCAAGGACTCGATCGCGGCGGCTCACATGCACACGTCGCTGGCGTCCTGTGAACGGCGGGGGGGGCCCTTGTTGGGGGGGTGGGCACTGAGCACTGTGCCCCCACCAGGTGCACCTGCAGACACAGCAGGAGGTGAAACTGCGCATGGTGGGCATGGCCCAGCGGGTGGTGCGCTCCGACGGCGTCCTGGCGCTCTACAGCGGCCTCAGCGCCTCGCTGTGCAGACAGGTACCCCCCACCCCCTCCACTGCGCCCCCCGTCCTGACCCCAGTTCCAGCTCAGAGCAGCACAGACAGGCAGAAGGGCTGGCCCGCGCCCTCAAGTCCGGTTGGCGCCTCTAACCTGTGTGGGCACTCCGGGACATCAAGCAACCCCCCCTTTTCTGAGGCCACATAGGAGGAAGGAACCGCAGGCCCTGGGCTGTGACCGATGGAGAGACAGGCCTGGGAAGGGGGGCGAGGCTGCGGTCACCCCCCAGAGTGCAGGGCCTTGGGCCCTCCCCCAGCTGGGGCCCCACAGGGCCTGTACCCGCGCCCCCTGATCCGGCCCTCCCCAGATGACCTACTCCCTGACCCGCTTCGCCATCTACGAGACGGCAAGGGACCACATGAGCCGGGGCGCCCAGGGGCCCCCACCCTTCTACAAGAAGGTGCTGCTGGGCGCTGTCAGTGGTGAGTGCCGGGTGGGGGCCAGGTGGGGCGGGGAGCGGGCACTGCCCGTCTCACCCGCTGGTCCGGGTCTGTCCCCAGGCTGCATCGGAGGCTTCATGGGGACTCCTGCAGACATGGTCAACGTCAGGTCAGTGCGGCCCCGCCCAGGGCAGGGGCTCGGCCACAGCCACTCGCGCCCACGCTCTGGGCGCAGGGCCGCTGCTGCCCGCTGAGCCCGGTGGTCATTTCAGGATGCAGAATGACATGAAGCTGCCCCAGAACCAGCGCCGAAAGTGAGTGGCTGGTCGCTCCTGCCCCTGGGGGTGGCCGGTGGGGGACACAGGGGCAGACGGTGCCTGAGCCACTCTGCCAGGTGCGGGGCCGTGTGGGGCGGGGAAGGACGCGGCCTGCGGGGACCGGGCGGCAGCGCCCCCCCACAGGATGCCGAGACAGGGAGTCTGGGCCTTTGAACAGACCCTAGAGTTGTGATCTTTGCTCCTGACAAAAATGCCACTTTCCATGGAAGCTGGGGTTCTGTCGGGCCTGCGCCCGTGTGGCTGCGCCCCCACATCGGCCTCAGCTGGCTTCGGGTGTGGGGTGCCCCGTGAGAGTCCACTCCTACTCCCCAGAAGGCCCACCCGCTAGAGCCAGGCCTCCCCCCCGCAGGGCAGCCTGCAGGCGGTGCCGGCATTTCCTTGTGGACTTGGGGGTCACGGCCCCCCCGCCCCCCACCGAGGCGCCCTTGGAGGAGGAAGCCCTGAGGTGTGGAAGAGGCCGGCCTCCCTGGCCCGGCACAGCCCCCTGCTGCGAGGGGGGTCCCTCCCTGGGCCCGGGGACAGGGCGCACCTCACTGGTCATCCTCTGTCCCCCACAGCTACGCCCACGCCCTGGATGGCCTGTTCCGCGTGGCCCGGGAAGGTGAGGGGAGCCGGCACTTTGCCTGGGCCCTGGGGCTGCCGCAGCACCTGTGGGAGCAGGGCCTGGGGGCTGGGGTGGCGGGGTGTGGGCCTAGCGCCGACCTCCCCCTCCCCCCAGAGGGCGTGAAGCGGCTGTTCTCGGGCGCAACCATGGCCTCCAGCCGAGGGATGTTGGTCACCGTGGGCCAGGTAGGCGTCCTGCTCGGGGTCCTGGGGACGCGGGTGCTCTGGGTCAGGGGCCCCCCACCACCACTCCCAGAGCTGGGGTGCCCCACGGCCCTGACACCCGCCACCCCGCAGCTGTCCTGCTACGACCAGGCCAAGCAGCTGGTCCTCAGCACGGGCTACCTGTCTGACGGCATCTTCACCCACTTCGTGGCCAGCTTCATTGCCGTGAGCGTGGGGCGGCGCGGGGCCGGCTCTGGGCGAGGGAGGGGGACGCCCCGATGGGCTGTATGAGTGGGGCGGGGGTCTGGGGTCGAGCTCAAGGGCCACGTGGTACCAGGTGGGTCCTCGGGACACCTTCTGGGTGTCTGGGCCAGGCCTCTGGGTGGGGGGTGAGGTGGCCGCCATTGGTGACCCCCCCCCACCCAGGGCGGGTGCGCCACCATCCTGTGCCAGCCTCTGGACGTGCTGAAGACCCGCCTGATGAGCTCCAAGGGCGAGTACCAGGTGAGGCGCCTCCTGCGCCCGTGTCCGCACCTGGCCCGGTCTCGGGGAGGCGGCGCCTCGGCGGGGAGTAGCCCCTCCTCACCCCTCCTGCCCCTCCGCAGGGCGTCCTGCACTGCGCGCTGGAGACCGCCAAGCTGGGGCCGCTGGCCTTCTACAAGGTGAGGCCGCGCGGGCCGGGGTGGCGGGGCCGGAGGGGCGTCCGCACACGCCACTCTCCTCCCTCCGCAGGGCCTCCTGCCCGCCGGCATCCGCCTCATGCCCCACACCATGCTCACGTTCGTGTTTCTGGAACAGCTCCGCAAGCACTTCGGCGTCAAAGTGCCGTCCTGATGGGCCGGGGGAGGGGCAGGCCTTGCCCAGCCCCAGCGCCCACCTGGCGCGGCCGGAACCAGCTCCGGCCGGTCCTCTGGGCGCAGGACCCCCAGAGCTCATCCCGGTGCCCTCACCCCAGCCGCTGTCACTTTTCCACTTTTCCTGCACCCCCTTCCAGCAGCCTCCATCCAGGGCCTGGCGAGCAGCATAGGGGTGTGGACCCCAGCATTGCTCACCCACTGATGTGGTGCACCTGCACTTTGGCCTTAGGAGAGGGACCCCTGCTTTTAGGGGGTCCTCACGATGGGGCAGGGAGTCCTCACGATGGGGCAGGGGAGCCCCCCGACCTGCTGCAGCAGCTGGGGGCGTGGCCAAGCAAGACCCGCCCCACACCGCTTTAAGAGGCGCCCCACTGTCTTTAGGGGTGCCGTCCTGCCCCTCACGCTGCCCCTGCCTGCCCTCCCCTGCTCCCCGGGCAGAAGGGGCTGTGCTGCGTCCTAGGAGTCATCTCTGCGGGGCTGCGGCTCCCCAGGAGCTGTCCAGCTGACGCCACCACCTGGTTCCGCGGACAAGCAGCCGGCCCCCACCAACAGGCCCGCGCGTCCAGCACCTTCGAGGAGCCGGGCCTGCCCGGGCGCGGGGATGCTAATAAACCAGGCGCTCCACTGGCCTACAGGCTCCAGCTGTCCGGTCAAGAGCCCCGCCCCACAGAGGGCTCGCGGGGGCCTCGCAGGCAGGTGGGAGCAGGGCCGGCGGCCTGGGGGGGGCCACAGCCCCGGCGGGTCCATCGGTGTGGCCAGAGGTGTCAAGGGCAGGAAGGCGCAGCTCAGGCCCTGGGTGCTGTGGGACGCCCTGGCGGCCCCTGGGTCTCTCCTGCCAGCTGGCGGTCCAGCTGAGGTCTCCAGCTCAGGGCTGTCTGACGCCATCTTGCCAGGGCCCTGGATGCAGGCCGCTGTCCAGCAGGCCTGGAGGAGGTGGGAGACGCTGGCTCTCCCACTGTAGACCCTCGAGCGACGGGGCGGGCGCTGGCATGGCACCCACTGAGGCGCTGATAGGACCGTGGGAGCCCCGGGGCCTCCTGCTGCCCCAGCAGGCAGGGGCGGGTAGGCTCTTTTGGACACCCCAGTCTGGAGCAAGGAGACTGCTTCGGGAGCGTTCGAGCAGGACGTGAGGCCCTGGGCGGCGCGTAGCTCTGTGGGTATCTCCAAGCGCCACCCTCGCCCCACGCCCTTCCCACCCGCTGTGGACGCGCACCCCAGATTTGTCGTTCACAGGGTCTTCAGCCAGACCCTGTGAAAGTAGACTTTGAAGAATGTGATGTGACTGCCCTCTGCCACTGCCTGGCCACCTGCCCGCGGCCACCCCCGCCCGCCCGCTGCCAGCTGTTGCCTCTTCCGTCACATGCGCGCTCCTCCCCACCCCTGAAGCCCGCAGCCCGCCTGGGTATCTCTGTTTGCGGGGGCAGTACTTGATGTTGGCCTGGGTGCTGCAGGGCGAGGTGTGTCCGTGGTCTGGCCCGGTTTGGAGGTCAAGCCCTGAGGGTGAAGCCAGACCCCAGGGTGCAGGGGCCACGGGCACCCTCGGGGTGGAGGGGTCTGGGGCTGTGCCGGCGACTGCCTCGCTGCCCCCAGGTCCTTCCAGGCACAGCAGGCGATCTCAGCCCCACCCTGGCGGCCGGATGCCCGCCCACAGGGTAGGGGCCCTAGGCCCACGCAGTGAAGGGGGTCGGGCGGGGGCCGGTCAGGGTGAAGACTGCTGCTTCTCCCCGAACCTGGGTGAGCCGGCAAGTCAGCACATAACTGAAACGGGCCATTGAGGCCACATTCTCTGTCCTGCAAAGCTGCTTGGACCTGGAGTGCTGGCAGGCTCCGCGCAGCCCGTGTGCCCGCGCAGCCCGGCAGCTCAGCAGCCGCCCTCCCAGCAGCTGGGTTCATGCAAGGCCTCCGCGCTGGAGAAAGTGCCCTGTCTGGTTTGGCGGGCAGGCCTGGCAGGGACCACTACAGGGCAGGGGCAGGCCCGCCAGGCTCCCGCCCCACCCCCCGGGCTCTGGGCGGTGGGCTGGGTCCGCCCAGGGCCGAGCAACGGCCCCAGGGCAGCGCCAAGAGCAGGACCCTCCCGGGAGCCTCTGCAGAGGCCAGAGTCCTTCCTCTGCGGGGTCCAAACCAGCGAGCTGTGTCCAGGAGGCCACCCCCCTTGCGGATCACCCCCGCGGAGAGAGGGCCAGTCACTTCGCACATGGCGGGCCGGGCGGGTTCCAAGTCCCAAGGGAGTCGGGTGTCAGCACTCCGCGAGTCCGGCGCGGCCTCCTCGTTCAGAAAGACGCTCGCGTTTGCCAAAAGTTACACAACAAGCATTCGTTGCCAGAATTCCCACCAGCGTGCCAGGGGCCGAGGAAGGGCAGACTTTGGGACAAATGGTGCCGGGGGCGGATTTCCACCTGTGGGAGGGCGAAGGCGGCCGCTCCCGGTGGCCACGCACGGGTCACTCCCCACGGACGCGACCCTAACCCCGGCCACGCGCGTTCTGCGGAGGCTGCTGCTGCAAGGGGCCTCTGGTGTGGCCGCCCCGGCGGGGTGGGGGGGGTGCATTGGAGCGGGGGTGCCCGCGGGCGGGACTCCTGGGGCGGGGCCGAGCGCCTCGCGGGGCGTCCAGGTGTCCAGGCGCGGCCTGTTGCTGAGTGGGAAGCGGAGGCCAGGGTTAGGGCAGCAGCGGTCACTGACCGCGGGCAGATGGCGGTGGCTTCGGGAAGGGAAGCCCGGGCACGTTACTCCACCCAAAGGCCAGTCAGCTGAGGGGGCTGCGCAAGGCCGCGTCATTCGGCCTTCAGGAGAGACGCCAAGTGCGCCGCGCTCGGACGGACCCTGGGCGAGTGGCCGGCCTGGGGCCACGGCCATGGTTCCCTTCTAGGCGATGCTGGACAGGTCCCTGGAGACGGGCGGGGCCTGGGCGGGCCAGGGGTCTCTGGCGCGGGGGTGGACCGGGCCGCCGCCTCCAAGCTCACTCCCCAGGCCGCCCCTGGCTTCCGACGAGGCCACACCGTCGGGAGGACCCAAGGTCCGCTCCAAGAAGACCCAACACTGTCCGAGAACAGTTGGGTTTGGGCGCAGCACCCCGCCCTGGGGCTCCAGGACTGCCCTCCTTTTGTCATTTTCCACACAGCACACCCCAACTCTTCTAAGCCCACGCCCCGTTCTCCCCTGAAAATGCCCCACTTGGGCAGAGACACACGGAGCCCCTTGACAATGGCCTCCGTGGAAATAAGTCATTAAACAAAGCTCCAGGGCCTCCCTGGTGGCTCGGGGTAAATCTCGGGCTAGCCAGCCGCTGTGGCCTGAGTCCATCCCCGGCCAGCGAGTGACCCCCAGGGGGCGGCAGGCCTCTCCCGTCTCCTGCTGCCCCCTCAGCCGTGTTTCTTTTATTTTTAAGGTTTTATTTACTTTTATGTAGAAAAGCGGGGGTGCAGGCCAGAAGTGCAGGGGGTGAGAGGACTCCCCAGAGACAGAGTGGGGAGCAGAACAGGCGGATCCACTGAGACACACTGTGAGGGGAGCAGCAGGGAGACAGGAGGGGTCTGCTGCACCCAGGGGGTCACTCCCTGGTCGGGGAGCAGACTCGTGCTGCAGTGGCTGCCCATAGCTTCATAGTGCTGGGACTTACCCCCTGTCCCCCCAGGGAGGGCCCCAGTATATTTCAATAGATCTGCCTGTTCTGCTCCCGTCTCTGTCTCTGGTGCATAATCTCCCCCCACACACACCACTGGCCTGCACCCCAGCTCTTGTATGCATCAACAAAGAAATCTTAAAGAAATCTCTCAGCAAAATAAGAATAGAGGAACAAGCCCTTAATCCGATAAAGGGCATCGCCTTAAAAAGAGACAGCAAAATTAAATCCCATAAATTGTAGGAGAAATGGACACTGGATTATATAACAATCTTTAAATTATGCATAACAAAAAGACTGTAAAGAAATACACAGATATACACACAAACTACAGACCAGAGAAAACATTGACAAAGCATATGATAAAATTTTTCTACTATACCAATTGCCCCTACGAATTATTCTACTACGAAAAACCAGACTGAGGGGGCAGGGAGGAAGGAAGGAAAAAAAACCACAACAGAACAATGGGCTAAGATCACGGGTCTTTCATGGGCCACGGACCCTGCCTGGGTCAGGAGAGCTGGGATGACACGCTACAGAAAGTTGTTGGAAGCAGCTTACGCAAGAGGAAGCGCTCGGCGCACATCTCTGAAAAGGAGGCGTGTTGGGTTTCTGGCGTGTCTGATCCGAGGGCTTCCTCTTTCCTGTCTCGATCCTACTTTGCTCTGTGTGGCTGGATTCCCAGGCAGCCCAAAGGGTGGCCACGTTCCACCAGCTTGGACTCCCTGCGGGTGACCGCTCAGTGACTCCTGTCCCCACGGTCATCTGCCACCTTTCCGAGTTGGCCTCACATGCCCCGGACAGGCAGCCAACCGAGCTTGGGTTTCCAAGCAGAAACCTGAGCAGGAGGAGAATCCTCCAAGGACAACTGGATGCTTCACAGGAAGGTGGGGACAGAGTGACAATGTCCAAGAGGAAAGAGCCCCGCCGAGCAGCTGTGCGGACACTAAAGGGCTGGGCCGCTGGGCCGTGCCGTGTCTCCACGTGGCTGGAAGCTTCCACTCGGTGTCTTAAACCCAGAGTACCCGCCCTCCTGGAGCCCCCGGGCCTGGCGCAGCAAACACCCAAGGGCGCGTGGGGCGGGAGCTGGGGAGCCTGGCTAGGGGTGAGGACGCAGGTGAGCTCCACGGGGAGACCTGTGGTGGGTGGGCATGAGCCGGGCAGGCCCAAGGCCTGGCGGGAGCCAGAGATGTAGGCAGGGCCTGGGCCGGTTTGAGCGGTGAAGGCCTCCCCCAGCCGGCTGCTCCTCAACCTGCAGTGGCCTCCTGCTCCGTCGCCCCGTCAGCTTGTGCCCCCCCACGGGAAAGTCATGTGCACAGAGTTGCAGGTGCCTCCAGAGCGGCCGACCCAGCACAGAGGGGCGACTCCAGGAGCCTTGGCGGGCAAGGGGTAACTGGTCGCTCTGAGCCCTGGGCACCGAGGCGGAGGCTACGTCCAGCCCCCGGTCCAGCAGCAGGCGGCTCTGCGGGAGCCAGCCAGGCACAAGCGGGGGTGGGGGTGCGGCGTAGGGGGCGGGGGCGGTTCTGGCTGTGACTGGCCCTGGGGAGACTCTGAAGCCCGAGCTTCCTACAGTCTCCCCGCTGGAAGTCCACCCTCCCCCCGAAACAAGGTCTTGGTGACCCTGAATGTGGGTCCGGGCAGAGTAGCCCCAAAACCAGTGCAGAGCCTTAGGCTGAGGCGGCACGCAGAGCCCTCCGCAGGTGGGGTCCCCCCAGAGGAGCCTCCAGCAGGCGGAAGGCAGAGGCCACGGAGCCCCGGGCTCGGCAGAGGACAATGGTCCCAGGGGCCTGGTCACTGCTCAGGCCGGCTCGCTGCACCCCAGGGACATGCAGCCCCAGGGCCCCAGGCGCTGCAGCCCAGCCCGGGTACCCACTATGCTGCTCCACCCCCCAGGCAGCGCTGGGCTCTCCCTGCCAACTGCATGGCTCTGCCCTGGGCCCTGCGGGCCCGGTGAGGTGTGAAGCGCAGGGGGTTCTGCTCCCCTGGGGGAGGCAGCCCCAGGACATAAGCCCAAGTCACAAG